GGTATTGTGACACAAAAACAGAAAGTGAAATATAAACATGCACCGCTCTTCCAGAACTATAGATATGCCCTTGGAAATCCCTTGAGGTTGAGATGAAACATTATGAGATGTCATGAACAATACAAAAGGGACCTTTTGTAATATAAAGTTCTGATCACATGCATCCAGAAATTTAATTACTAAACCAGCACACCCATTTGTGGTTTCACCAATAATTAGCTCAATTCGTTCCAGAGTTATTGTGTGGATAGAGAGACTAACAAAATGAAACTCTTCAGGTCAGTGGAGCTATCCCTATCCCGTATTAAACAGCACTAACACCCAACACGAAGACACCCGTTCATAAATACTGTGTAATAAACCTGTCATAATGCCAAGAAGAATTTGGTCTTCAGGGTCTAACTCCACCTCCTCCTCATCTGTGCGAAGGCCAGTGGAATTTTTCGTGACAAGAGCTTGCCTAGTTCTCCGTGACACTTTAGCCCTCAGCTCTGCATTGCAATCCCTGCATTTTTGTTGAATAAGGTTCTCTGAAATTCGGCTGAAAAGGATATTGACGGTGTCCTTCGCATTGTGGTGTGCGGGACACAACAAACCCTCCCACTGCACAGCATTTTGGAACAATGTAGCAACATCACTTGACACATTCTCTTTGAACAATACCCTTTTCCATTGTCTTTCAAATACATTTTGGCAAGATAGATAGATAGATATTAGATTTGGAGACGGAAATGAAGTTTGTGAAGATACAGAATTATAAAACAGAGGTGGTTGTGAAGACGTTAGTAGATTAGAACAGTGAGAGCAGTCAATTTTTTTAAGCAGAGAAGGTAGAATTTCAATCCACTGTTCTGTGGGCGCCTGGCGAACAAGAAGATTGGTGGGTTGCACTCTAGGACGACGTCCAAAATTGTCTGGGGTATCCCCACGATGCAGAGACTGCTGGACTGGTGGTGCAGTTGAGGGGTCCTCTTCTGATAGTAAATACTGACTCAGATCTGACATCATGAATGACTCATCATCCAGGCAATTTTTACTGTCAGCACTAACAAGTCTTGAGAACCTGCTAATCAGGCAAGTTTTCATAGAAGCAGTGAACTGGGCCAAGGTGAGGTCAGAGCTACTGCCCCCACACTGACGGATGAGACAGAAAAAATTTTCAAGAGCATCTTGGTTTAAATGCCGCAGTTTCAACACACGAACCTCTTCTTTCACTGAGCACCACAGCACACGAAATGATTTAACATTTTCAATCCATCCCCGCACACAAGGAGGAATGTGTCGGACACCATCTTTCTTTCTGATAAATGTCCATGTCTGCAGCTTAGAAATGATGGTATTCCACATATCCTCCTTGATGTGGGGGGAATGATCTGTAACATTGACTCTAAAGAGTTTCTGGTCATTGTTTTCCTTTGCTCTTGGGCCATTGCAAAGGTCGAAGAAACTGTCAATGTCCTCACAGAGATCAGCAAATGGCAAGCAGTGAGAGAGTTTCTTGCCATCACTGATAGAGACAATCGCCTTGATGAATTTTGATACAGATGCACTAAACACTTGAGCAGCATACGAGACCCGCATCTTGTCCCGGCCCTGGGGATTAATGTGCCTCATTGATAGAGAACTTAATTTACTAAGAGACTCATCATATTTAAAAAATTCTATCAAGTGACGCCACTTGGCAACTTTATTTCCATTAAATTCAAGATCACTTGTTATCAGATTGTTTCTAATGTTTTTTAAAATGTGTGGCATGTCCCATATATGCACAAGCCTCTGTCCATCAATAGAATACAGTAAGCCATCACCATTCTTCTGGCGAAGCTCAGCAATAGCACTTCTGTTTGTAGGGCCCTGGTCAGAAACAGTAGCCTTTACAGTTAGGCCAATACTGGTAAGGGCCTTCACAACATCTTCAATTAAAATCTTTAGCATGGTAGATGGGCATGTCTTACTGACAAAATAGTATGCAACTGGTTGAGTCCACTTGACATGGAGCCCTTGCACCATGAACACCAGCGCATGATCAGCAATATAGTTTGTTCTGCCTCGCTGCCCATAATTTTCGAAACCAATGACTAAATCTTTTCTAAGATTGTAAAATACACGCCCACGCAAGAAGACCTCATCAAATAATAAAACACACTGTCTATCCCGGGATTTCATCAACTCCACCTTCTTCTTCAACAGCGACAGAAAAGGCTGAGAAATCCCGGGAGCCAGATTCACTTTGTTCAACAAGTTTTTTAAGCTTGCTTCACTAGGTATGGTCATATATTTGGCTAAAAATCGGAAGGCCCTCACTCCCCTTTTCATAACCCCTAACCAGAATAGTTTATCTTGAAGTGTCCAGCGCCTGCCTCTCGGTTTAACTTTAAAATTTTTCATCTCTCCCTCAAGGATCACACGGGCTACTGGTGATACCACAAGTTCATTCAGTACAGTTAGGGTCTTATTATTAAGTACCTTTGTGAGGTTCTTGTTGCGGCGTTGGGCAATACTCAACTTTCTCCTTACGTCTAATGCCATGGTTCTGTACTGTTGTGCAGTTTTCAGAACCTTGTCCAAATTTTCATCATTAGAGTCATACTGCACACCAGACATTTCAGCAAGATTTTGGAGCCCAATCCTATGCTGCTTGCCATCCCTATCCCTTGCTCCAGTGGATATGAGAGACCCTGAAAATAACATAATTAAATAGACAAATAGACTAAGAGAGAGGCACTAAACATTTAGTTAGCAACACCTAAGTAATAAGATATTCTTAAACAGAGCAACTGCAGTCAACTTTCAAGAATAAATTGGGTGCCAATTTTTTTAATTCCTTACTGCGTGGAGATGTTGCCTGTGGCAAGTCCAGGTGAGGATTCTTCAGCTCAGATTCAAAACTACTGTCATCATCATCAATATAAATTTCTCTAGAGCGTTTCCCTGAAGAATTGAAAACTTAAAAATAAATCATAGACTCACAAGTTCATTCTTTTCAAAGTAGAGATTATAATTGTAATAATAAATCAAATTTACCAGAGTGGACCTGATCAGATGACTCTTCTGTGCAGTCCATGATGTCATCACCACACTGGATTGGTGTCAAAGGTGAGCTAGTGTCAGGACTGTCATCACAGTCACTTTCATCATTGAAGCCACTAAAGAAAAAGACTAGAACATGCCCGAGATAAAATAACAAGTAGATAGGATGACAACACCAAATGAAGTTAAGATAGGATGTGTAGCTATGTACCATCTGGATTATCATATTTTTGCATAACCTCTGGACTGAGCTCAGGGTATGCAAAAATAGTGGGCACAGCATTCAGTCGAAGTTTGGTCTTAAACTTGTTCCAGAATTGGCTGTCATCAAAATGATTTGGGCACATGTACAAATT